CGTGCTGAGAATGATGTATGCGGTCACAAGCTCTAACTGCACTTTTAAGTACGTAGTGTTGTAAATATAGGAGCATAATAAGCTGACAGCACATTAATTAATTGCTTCCTGACATCATGTACCGATTGTTTTGAAAATACAAAATACGAAAACTTCTGACAGTACTTAGCTATAGGAGTCAATGCATCTTTCAAATAGGATTTTTTTTTTTTTTCTTTTTGTATTGCATCAGGCTTTTACCTCTTTCCTGCTAGTGCAACGCTACATTAAATATGTATTGGCTAGTGTGCAGTATGCATACAATTTCTCATGTTAATACGAATTAGATTCCATAAATTCCATAGTATGTGTATTTTCCTGTATTCGATCCACACTATTTACAGCAACCCTGCAACCGAGCACAAGTCAGCAGACGACTGATCAATGCCCAACAGATGAAGATGAGTCGAGTTGCCCGCAACTTTGTATCGTATATTACATGTCTAGTGGGAAACTCAAAAACATGCAAAATCGTGTTTCGGAACTCTGGAACAACCAAATAAGGATTGTTGCTCAACTGCTTAGCGACTTTTCAGATACTTTGTTGCGGGACTGTTGCTCAACAAAGTATCTTGGTCTGGAATCTGAAATGTTTTTGATTTGTTGAGCAATTGTTTCAGATACAGTGTTGATCAACAATAGTCTGGATTAGGCTTTAGCAGCACGCTTTGCCCAATCCTTGTATATTAGAATCTAAGTGGTAAAATATCTTATGAAAGTAAAAGGTATTAAAGGAGGCAGTATCTGAAGCGCAACATTTAACGAACCGCATTAAAGCAAAAAACGGGCATTGGAAATAAATGCCCAACAAGTGTATATTAACTAAGAATCTGAGTGCTGAAGTACCTAAAAAAAATAAAAGGCTTTATCAAGAAGGCAGTATCTGAAGCGCAACTTTTAACAAACAATATTAAAGCAAAAAAACGGGCATTGGAAATAAATGCCCAACAAGTGTATATTAACTAAGAATCTGAGTGCTGCAATATCTAAGAAAAATAAAATAAAAGGCTGTATTAAGAAGGCAGTATCTGAAGCGCAACTTTTAACCATTAAAAATGATTAATTTATTTATTATTTGTTAATATTAACAAACAATATTAAAGAAAAAAAAAACGGTCATTGGAAATAAACGTGGGTCGCGCACAGGACGAGGCGTTCGAACCGCGCGCCCTTCAACGCGGCCGACGGAGGAACCCTCAGCTGACACGTCCAAACAAAACAAAACATTACCTCTTCCTCTTTCCTGCTCGTATTTTGGTCTTTTTCTCTCATTCAGGTAAGGGTAAGCCTTTTATTTGGTGATTTTGCGAAGGTATTTAGGGAGTAGAGTTCGTGCTGTAGTTCTTTTCATAAAGATATTCATTTTTTATGGTTGTTTTTGAGTGTTTGTGTAATGTACTCAAGATCTTTTGCCACGTAATTGAGGATATTTTTGGAGATATCTTTAGTCTTTTTCCTCTGTAGCGTTTTGCAGGTGTAATTTAGTGTATTACTTCAGTGTGTTTCATCCAGGTATACTTAACAGATACACAAGTTAATATAATTGCTCGATTTCATAAGCTTAAAGGGAGAAATCTCTGAACCAACTAGAAAATCATTTTTGCTGTATATATTTACATAATAGCTGCACTAAGATAGAAAAAAATTGAAGGATATTAAAGAGAGGAAAAAAATGCACTCAGTGATATGTGAAATCAAATGCAGATGTAGAGAGTAATGTCAGAAAGTTTTTGAAAATAGGCCATGACAAATGCTATGCTAACAATAAGTTCCCATACGCCTCCCATGGCTAGGTCCAGCCTTACTTCACCTCACAGTGAACTACTCCCCTACACAGTAACCCTGCTCAAGCTGTAGTTGGACGTGTAAGACATCGAGTCATGATCAGTCATTGTCACCTTCTTAATGGCCTATGGTGAGCCATTTTGTCCATAACCCCCTCTTAGAAACCCTAGATTCCTGGGATTGTCTCCTAGTTTGTTGGCTGGGGTAATAGGGATTTCAATTCAAAGGGGGAAGTCACTTCATGAAAAATTACCTTAAGGATTTTCTCTCTCTCTCTCTCTCTCTCTCTCTCTCTCTCTCTCTCTCTCTCTCTCTCTCTCTCTCTCTCTCTCTCTCTCTCTCTCTCTCTCTCTCTTTTTTTCTTTTTTTATTGTAATTGCCGTCACCCATATTTACACAGTATTTGTGATTGTTGAATAGATAACTTCCTCCAAGACCCTGTTTGCCCCCTTCCATGTCTGGCTTGACACTCCCAAGAGACATAATTTTTTACTTTTTTACCTAAATTACACCTATCTAGGTCATGTTTCTGTTCACTTTGCTTACCTGCCCTCTTATACCCCCTTCGAACAAGTTGAAATGATGCCTCAAGTAGACCTTCCTGGTGATATTAGCAAATAAGGGACTAACCCAAGCTCTGTTTTGACAAAATATACAAGGTTGACCATATTCTTTATCACATAAGCTGCAGATATTGCTGGAGCACCACCAAGTTTGGATATTATTTGATGAATGTAGAGAAAAACAATTACTAAACAAAACTATTATGAAAAGTTATGTTCAGAAAGTCCAGCTTACTATAGCCCACAATTCTATATACACTTGGCTGTTGTGCCTGCACTTTGCATTCCGGCTAGGCAAACAAACCTCCACCATGTACATTCTGGTAAGATACTGTATGTTAGTGTCTGTTGCAATTTATCATCGAGTGGGAATCAATCCATCATCTATCCTGCAAGTATGTGGGCAAGTTTGTTATCCTTTAACAAAGGATAAAAGTCAACATCACTTTTCACCATGTATTCTGCCTTATTTATATTACTAAATATGTTTTTTGTTTGTTATAACTCCTATGAATAATAAATCTAATCCATGTACTACTTCCATCTGGTTGATAGCTGTCATTTATATATTAAAAGCATTTATATTGGATCTCAGATTTGTCAGAAGTTTAGCACTTGATAAATGAACATCAACTATTATTATAGTGTATTCAGTGGACAGAGAAGAAACTATTTAGAAATCATATTATTTTATTGAAGTATCTGAATGTTTATTCTAGGTCTTGTACAGATAACTATAACCTAGTCTGGTGTTAATAATGCCGAGATATTGTGATCCAGTCTGCAGTGTAAGGCATTTTCTTGTTAGATATCCAGTAGCCTATGCTAGTGTGCATCACCAAAAACATCTGGTGTGCAATTATGCAGCAACCCTTTTCTTTCTTTCTTTCTTTCTTGTTTTCTTTTTTTCTTTTTCTCTTTTTCAGAGGGGGATTCTCATTTCTAGTAGACAAAGGAGCATTTTTTTGTTTGTTTTAATAAAAACTTCTGTCTCAATTTTTATTTGAAAGTTACATGCTATTTGCAATATGTACTACCATATATTGATAATCTTTAAATCTGTATTATGAATCAAGAAGAAAAAGGAAAGAGCGGAGTGCTCACTAACCCAATTTCTAAACATTGGTTTTGTTTTCTTGCTGATCTAAAAGGATACAAAAATGTGTTTAGGGTATGGTATTATAACATGTAGCTCAGTCATAATGGATTCAGCTTGCAATATTCTATGGGTTGCAATGAAAAAAGAAACATAAAACATAGCAGTGATAGTCCTTGTAAGTGCAGGGAAGTGTATCTAATTATATAACTGTACTTGTCTATGTAAGGGAATGACATTGTTGGCTGTGGATATTTTGATGAACCTCTTCCCATTTCAGATGCATAGCAGATCCACAAAATGTCCTGGATAACAGACCTAGCAGGGAAAGCAGAAACTCTCCTTAACAAGCTTGACACAGAAGCTGGGGCCGTTCTCAAGCAGGAGAGACGCAACTCATCTGCGGGCAAATCCTCGTATAAGCATGATGCGGCCAATGCTGTGCCTCCAGTGACTCAGTATGAAAAGTAGGAAGCAGTGTTTTTCTTTTCTTTTCTTTTTGTTCTTTCTTTAATTTTTTTTTTTTTTTTTTTTTTTTTTTTTTGTGTTTGTATTTGTTTGTTTATATGTGTTTGCCCCCACAAAATATTAGTGATTCCAGTAATTAGGCAAAGTGGAAGGAAATTAGGAGAGAAGGGAGGGAGGAAGGGTGGGTCTTAGTAAACAAAAATGATATATCTCACCTAATTTTCATATCCCACCACAGGTCAAGTTTGCCAAGTTCCAGCAGTGTTCCCAGCAACCTAAGTACCTATGGCATAGGAGGCAGCCCTGTGACAGTGCCAGGTGCCAGCATTCAGGGAAGTGGCACTTCCCTCACATCATCACCGAAAGGGACAGGAAAGAAGAGCAATCCACGGAAGAAAGACGAGGCGTTGATGGACTTCCTGAATAGCCCCCTTCAACAAGAACAGCAGACAGCTCACCAACACACAGTCACCATTTCCCAGGCAGATCCAGTACGTTGAGAAAGGCTTTTATTGTAGCTGAGCTTTCTTGATCTTTCTGGAGTATTACTATAGGTTTTATGTGGTTAGCAAAGGAGCTGTTGATTTCTTTGGTCAATTTTTGGTTTGCAATGATATTATACAGCAAGCATTGCAAGTAGGTATGGCCAGTGCCTAGAGCTAAGGGTTTTCTGTCTTTTCTTCCTCCATATTTTTCAGTCCTGTAGGCACATAGTACATACTACTTTCTGTATGGACAGGATAGAAGATGGCAAAAGTTGCACATATATTTTTATATGCTTTTTTTTTTTTTTTTTTTTTTTTACCCAGTGCCGACGGGCATGGCATACATGCCATGCCCATTGTGAGTTTACTTGTTTAATTGTTTTTGCACATAGATGGCTACACTTGTACTAAGTCACCAATGAGCCAATAACAAGTACTGCCTGTCTTGCCCATTTGCTCTTTTCTTTGATTTACAAAAATATTTTAGGTTATTTTATTTTGCTGTTACTAATGTTTATAACATTATAGTGATTATAGTGTCTATAATGAAAATAACACCATCAACATTCAATACATTTTTCCCGCTAATTCAAGGAAATGTGAAATTAGGTAAGGTCACAAGGTCTACCAATTCACTTCTTTGTGGCTAAGTACTAGCAGTGCCATCTATGTGCAGAGACATTTCACAAAAAAAGAATAGAAAAAGAGCACAGCATTTTCCCCAGCAGTATGTGGTTAAGTCCTTTCCCTTCTTTTTTCTCCTTTTTCTTTTTTCTTTCTTTTCTCATTTTAATCCATTGGTGGTGGGGAAAATGAACAAAAAATAGGGAAAATGCTACGCCCACTTTCTATGTTTTTCGTGAAATGTCTGCCGATAGATGGCTCTGCTAGCACCTGATTTGAAATGGCGGGAAAAACGTATTTTTCACAAGTGCTATGAAAATCGATGGTGTTATTTTTATCATAAACATTATAATTTTTATAATGTTTTTTAACAATAGTAACAGCAAAATAAGATAACGTAAAATATTTTGTAAATCAAAGAAACGGGTAAACGGGCGAGATGGGCAGTGCTCGTAGTTGGCTTATTGGTGATTTAGTACAAGTGTTGCCATCTATGCGTAAAAACAATCAAACAAGTACTCACGGTGGGCATAGCATGTACGTACACATCATACCTGGCACCAATGGGTTAATATCACTTCTATTACAGATGATATCCTCCACAACCATGACAACATCAACCATCAGCAGTCATGGGCATTCACGCCAATCATCTGTCTCGTCTGTTTCCTCCTTCATGGCTTTGAGTGGAAGGGAGACGCCTGGTTCCGCTACCGTTGACATTGGTATGTGTTATGCATGTGTCAAAGAAAAGTGATTGTTATTATATTTCTATTTAATCCTTTTTTTACCAAATTTTTATTCCGGGTTGGCAAGAATACATGCCATGACCTCTGTGTCTTTTTGCTTATTGATTATTTTTACACATAGATAGCTCTACAAGTGCTTATTCACCAAGGAGTCAGTTACTCATCCTGCTTATCTCACCTATTTACTCTTTCTTGACCTTTTATAATTTCTTTTTATAATATCATTACAATGATCATAATGTCAACAACAGTAATAACAAAATCAGTACTGATAACATTAGAACAAAAAAAATCTTTTGAAAACTCAAGGAAAGGGGAAATCAGCTGAGGACACAACACTAAACAGTGTAATTAACCAGTACGAGCTGGTTAAATGTAGAACAGTAGCATAGCATGTCTCTCTACAGACGAAGGTTAAATATGCAAGAAGTGCGAACATAATTTTCTAAACGTACTAGGTATTGTGCATTTCCTTTCCCACACACCAATTTCTTCTTTTATTCCTCTTTTTTTTTGTATTTATTTTTTAATTCCTTCTTACTTTACTAAATCAAATAATTCTTGAACCAGAAACTGGCAGTTCCGGATCAGGAAGTGGATCTGTCAATGCTGATGCATACATAACAGTTGAAACTCCATCTGATGTCAACATCTCAGCACCTCCAAGCACAGATGGCAGTACAAGGTAAGGTCTTACATACATTATCTATTCTTTATTTTTTCTTTAATGTTTTTTTTTTTTCTTTTTTCTTTTTTCTTTTTTTTTCTTTTTTCTTTTTTCTTTTTTTTTCTTTTTTCTTTTTTCTTTTTTTTTTTTTTTTTTCTTTTGTGGGGGTGGGGGGGGCATGCATGTGTCGTCTGTCCATCTTTCTGTCCCACAGAGACATTTATTAGCATCAAGATTTACCTTATTCCCATTTTAGGACTTCTAAAATGTTGTTCTTTTAGGGCAGTGTTTCTTAACCTTGTGTGTTAGCATCCCCTGGGGGTGCCAAAATCAATTTTAGGAGGGTGCTGGGAAGTGCTGAATACATGGCAATAAAATAACTAGCTGATTATCCAGCTGTGTATGTTTGAGTTTGTCCATGCTCTTTTCTTTTCCTTTTCCTCTTTTTATTTCCTCTATCAACAATGATGGCAATTGGTTTTAGTTTTGTGGAATCAACAAAATAAATACTCAAGCAGCACTTCTCTTTCCTTTATTTTACTAGTAATCATATGTTAACCAGAGTTAAGGGGTGCTAGACTGCTTAGAGTGCTAGGGTTGTAAAAACTTAAGGAACACTACTTTAGGGAATGATAATATTGAATGGAAGATCTATCTCTTTTCAAAAATTAGTTTTATTTACCCAATTTGTTCATATGTCTCTATATTTTACTTTAATTCATGTTATTGATAAAAGTACAAGTCATATCAGATAAGAACTTCTTTAAATACATGAATTCATAGAATTTGATGTGTGAGAGTTTCTTATTGGGGTAAGATTTAAGACTGTAAGTATTTTTAGTATATACCAGAATTTTTCTTGTAGCAGTAATGGTGTCATGACTGGGTCAGTGGACAGTGAGACAAGTTTATTACGCAAAGAGGTGGCAAGCCTCAATCAAGAGATGAGTCAAGTCTTAAAGAGAGCCAAGGATGCCGAGAGAGGTAGGCTTATGCAGATTTTCTTTGAAAATATGTAGGTAAGATGTCAGGTATACCATGTGACAGTATTTTTTAAATACTGAAAACATGTTCCTATCTTCTTTTATTTAAAAAGAAAACTACCAAAATTCCTCTTATGCATTGTGTGATATATTAAAATATATTGTCATATTGTACATATGTTACCTTCATGCTCATCAAAGGTAAATGCCATCTGCAGTGAATTACTAATAAAAAGTATATGCATAAATTGTTAACATATGTAGTCACTCCATGAAGGAAAATCTGATGTGCAATTTAACTAAAGGGATTTATAAGCAAGAGTTTTAATCTGCAACCTAAGTAAACAATCTTAGCAGTTTGTAGTTTTGACAAAGGGTAATAATAGTTACAGAAACCACTTATAAATTATATTCATTGTAAGTTATATCATACTAACATGTACAGCCTTATATCATTAGAACATAATGTTATCTTTTCAGAAACACAACAATTAAGGACTCAAGTATCTGGACTCTTGAGCCAACAGTCATCAAGTGACCAAATTATGCGTGAGATACAACAGAGGGAAATGGATTTGATGGTAAGTGCTCATTAGCTGGAACTGCTATCAACAAAAAAAACAAAAAACATTAGATTGATTTACTTGCAATTTATCTAAGACTAGATCCCATCTGAAGATTTATGTGGAAATGGAGATCAGCCTAGGGATGTCTCCATTCTTAATTGATGATTGTTTTGATTTTGATATGTATTCATAACCATGCCCTTATAATTCTTATGGTTGTTTGCTTGATTTTTTTTTCATTTTTCTTTTTCCTTTATTTCCTTCATTATTGTTAATCTTTCTCTTTCAAAATAGACACTATATCACCTGAATTCATGGAGTATGCACTCAGTGATGATGCATTCATATTTTTATTTTTGCTTACAAAGAACCAAAAGCCTAGATTTACTGTTAACTCCAATCACTGTGTTTGTTTTGTTGAGATACAAGTGTAAGAACCTTGTTTAGTATATGTATATGAAATTGCCTGATTATCAAAATATTAGTGTTGTTTACTTATTAAAAGATGCTACATAGATTTCTAAGCAATTCTATGTAACTGTAGGCCTACCATAAACTTGATGACTGTGTGGAAAAGATGGTAAACAACTTAAAAACAGTTTTCAATTTGTGTGTATTCTAAGAAACTCTAAAAATTGTTCTGTTTATCTGATCATGCATTAATTTTCTACAAAGTTTAGTTTTTAGTGAATGACGACTGATGAAACATGAAGTTATGTATTCTGTATCATAATCAGTAAAAAAAGAAAAACGCTTGAATGAGGGCTTGTCATTACATATATAGATATATGCATATAGATATATTACAGTATATTCCCATTTTGATAGATGATATTTCTGATAAAGATTTGCTTTTTGTGAAGTTCTCATTATGAATTGAGTTCATGGATCTTATCTCAAAGAATATTCATAATTATTATTCTTTTTTACAGGAGTCTATTAAAGCTAAGGATAGCCAACTGGCAGTACTTCGAGTTCGGTTACAGGAGGGAGATCATGACATAAAGGCTAAAGATACTTTGATAACAGAACTGAAAGATGAAAATAAAAGGTAGAAAGAACAGTCCTCTATAATTTTGAAGTAAATACATATATATAGTTATTGTTTGTTTCAATGATTTATTATGTGGGTGTGTTGTACACTCACTTGCTCTCTCTAACCATCTCCATTTATTTAATTCCTCATTTACTGTTTATTTTAGGTTATTGGAAGGTGCTAACGAAAGTAGTGGACTACACAACCATGCGCTTCAGACTGTCCAGGATCGCTTAGCAGAGGTTCAGGCACAGCTGGACAGAGAAAAACAGCTTCACATGTCTTCACAAACTGAACTCACAAGGAGGTTAGATCTTATAGCTTATTATGTTCCTCTTTTTAGTAGAAAATATGTCAAAGGCATTTTTTGTTTTTATTTGCTCTGTGCGTGCGTGTCTGCGTGCTTGTGTGTTTATGTGAGTGCGTGCACGCACTCATGTGTCTGTCTGTCTTTTTCTAAGTGCTTTAATGTTTTTGTTGGTATAATCTTGAAAATACTTACATGTTGCTGTCTTCACACAAATGATGTTTGAGAGTATTTCTTCATCCCCAGTGACTCATTTTGTAATCACTGCAACATGATATTGGTATTATCCTGTCCTTCAAAAACAGGAAGATCCATAACAATATCTATCTGATTATCATTGCAGAATAAACCATCTTGAAGAGGAACAGCAGGAATCAGCATCAGCACTAACAGAAGCTCAACGCAAGCTTGAAGATGAAAGAACTCGGGCTCATCAACTTGTCAACCAGGTATTGGCAGTTGATGCGTACTTTTGTATGTGTAAATACTGAAAATGCAGTAAATTCCTTGATGTTATGAAACTTCTAAATTCATTAGAACTTTGCATGTGTTTGAGAAAGTTTTTTTCTTTTATTATTTTTCATATTAATTTAAATAAGTCATATGAAAGTAATTCAGTAAAGTAAACTTGATTCATGATATATAAAGTAATTTGTATTTATTTATTTGTATGGGTAGGTGGGTGGAAGTTTGTCTTAAACTGTTGTCATACTTTGGTATAAAAAGTAAGGAATAGTATGGTCATAACTCCCATATCTAAGGGAAAAGGAGACAGATATATTTGTCATGTTTTAGTATAATTGTATCATTTTATTTGTATCCCAAACCAACTTGCAGAACCCATGGAACATTTCATGTACACAGAATACTTTGCAGTCCACACTTTAAAAAATAATACTCTGCAGATTGATGATTATACTTGTTGGTATGCTGTTACATATGCCTTCCTATTTTATTTAATTATCTAGTAATTATTATGACTTTTTCATACCAAATTACCTTTTTCTTCATACCAACAGGTGAGTTCTTTGCGTGGCGAATTGGCTGCAGCAAGGGAAGAACTGACAGAGTACAAAGCCAAAGCTGGCCGGATCTTACAAAGCAAAGAGAAATTGATAGCCAGTCTGAAGGAGGACCGAGGTGGAGGCGGAAGTGAGTCAGCCGAGGAATCACAACTCCATGAAGCTGAGCTGCACCAAATACGGTATTTCTTTATTTCATGCAAATTCATGCATTTAGTTCTTATCAATTAGTAATTTATGAAAGAATTACAATAGTAATAAATGATAGTAGAAAATTGTTTTTTCAAGTTCTTGATATCTTGATGCACTATGTGTATGTTGACAAAATTCATATATATGATAAACAGTTTGTCACACAACGTAATTTTCATCTATGAAGCAAAATGAAGTTAAATATTTCTGAGAATTTCTGAAGAGAGTTATCCAAGCAGTCACAGGAGACAATTATTCTGATGAATGAGGATCTAGAGAATAGAAATGTTAGTATGTTAATTTAAGAAGAATGGCTTTTTTCATGGAAGAAAGCCGCAACAAATTCTTGATGATAACTTGTGAGAGTGTGCCATTGCAGATCTGAGCGAGATCTGCTGCGGGAGGAACTGGAAGGAGCAGGTGTGAGGATCAGGCAGTTATTGACAGAGGTCAGTGACCTGGAAGCCTCTGCACAGGACCAGGCAGCATCAGCCTTCCACAATGCCTCAAATCTAGAGGAAGCTTTATCCGATGAGAGAAAAAGGAGGACGGAAGTAGAGTCTGAATTAAGACATGTCCAGGAGGTATGTTCTTTCAATAAGGTGTTTGAAAGGGTCTTTATTGTACTAAAATAGGGTTTGTCAGTAAAAAGCAGTTCATTTGGAAAGCATTTTCATAATGAATATGGGGTCTTTACTGTTATAAAAAATATTATTTTACAAAGAAATGAAGAATGTATTGATTTTTTTTTAGTCATTTAACATTTCTGATATTTCCTTTCTTTTAAATTTTACACAAACTTTCCTTTCTTTCATTTTATCTGGTTATTGCCAATTATTCAGGAAATGCGTTGTGCTCATGAAGAATTAACAAGACAAAAAGTCAACTTATCTTCAAGGCTTCAGGAAAGGGACACTGAAATTGACCGGCTCAGGAAACAGGTAAAGAATTTGAATGTGTTAGGTGGCTGCCAATTTTTGTAGCAATAGTAGAAGTGGCAGTGGCTGCAGTGGTGATGGTAGTGGATGGTATTAGTAGTAGTAAAGATAGTCATAGTAGCAGTATAGTGGTGGTACTAGTAGTATAGTAGTAGCAGTAGAACTAGTAGTATAGTAGTAGCAGTAGAACTAGTAGTATAGTAGTAGCAGTAGAACTAGTAGTATAGTAGTAGCAGTAGAACTAGTAGTATAGTAGTAGCAGTAGAACTAGTAGTATAGTAGTAGCAGTAGAACTAGTAGTATAGTAGTAGCAGTAGAACTAGTAGTATAGTAGTAGCAGTAGAACTAGTAGTATAGTAGTAGCAGTAGAACTAGTAGTATAGTAGTAGCAGTAGAACTAGTAGTATAGTAGTAGCAGTAGAACTAGTAGTATAGTAGTAGCAGTAGAACTAGTAGTATAGTAGTAGCAGTAGAACTAGTAGTATAGTAGTAGCAGTAGAACTAGTAGTATAGTAGTAGCAGTAGAACTAGTAGTATAGTAGTAGCAGTAGAACTAGTAGTATAGTAGTAGCAGTAGAACTAGTAGTATAGTAGTAGCAGTAGAACTAGTAGTATAGTAGTAGCAGTAGAACTAGTAGTATAGTAGTAGCAGTAGAACTAGTAGTATAGTATAGCATAGTCATAGTAAAAGCAGTACTAGCAGAAGTAATTGTAGTAGTAGTGATAACAGTAGTAGTAGTAAGATTTTTCATTTGGCCACAGATTACATCTGTGGCCAAATAACAAAAGTTTAGGAAAATCTGTAGTTGTGAATCTCAAACTATGAAATTTTAAGACTGATGTTATATAATCCCTTAATTTTTTTATCTTTTTGAAAATGTGAAAAGAGCATTGCTTGTATATTCAGTAACTTCTGTATAAGGTATATATTCCTGATATATATTTCTGTGGGGAAATGGAGGTGGGGGAAAAAATGGTTGTTATATATAAAGGAATAACCGAAACAAGTGTTGGATTTTTGTTATGAAAACAATTTTTTCTTTCTTTCTTTCTTTTTTCATAAAGCTCTGACTAATTTGCTTGTTTTTCATATTTCATAATAAGGAATAGAATAGTTGTATCCTAATTGTCATTTTCACCTAAAGGTCGCCCATAAGCAGAGCTCATCCAGCAGCCAGTCGGAATTGGAACAACGAGTCCATGCTTTAACGGAGTCCCTCATCCACAAGCAGACAGCCATTGAGACGCTAAGCACAGAGAAGCATTCGCTTATCATCCAAATGGAAAGACTCAAGGTAAGTTTTAATTTCTATACGTTTATGTGATTCATGAGGATTCACTTACCAATTTTAGTGTTATAATTTGTGATATCATATATCCTGTTCTGTTCTGACTGAATTATACATTCTGTACACCACATTTATAGGGGTTGATCAGAATCTGTGTGTGGGCATAGTGTGTATTATTCTGAAGTCATAACCTCAACATTTTTAATCAACATCATTATTTCTATATTTAGCAACAGTACGATGAATCCCAGAGTATGTTGAACAGAGATCCTCCAACATCTTATCGTCAGGATGATGGTAAGAACCGGAGTTTTGTCATTTATTTTGTAGTAAGTAATATGCAAATGACCATATTTCATTTCAAAGATAATGATTTCCAAGCCCATCTTAGATACATGTATTCTTATAGGAAGCATATCGTACCTTTCAGGAAAATTTACTGTGATTTTCTTGCAGTGAGAAACCGTGTACCAAGTTTTCTTATGGAATCTCCCTTCGATGGGGGTGTGGCTCGGCAAGTGAAACGGGCATACACCACCTTGGACAAATTCTCTGTGAGATTGGGGATATTCCTGCGGCGTTATCCTATTGCCAGAGTCTTTGTGATTTTGTACATGTGCCTTCTGCATGTCTGGGTCATGATTGTTCTGCTTACATACACTCCAGAGGTCCATGGGCCTGATTACCAGCATCCTATTGGTACCATGCCACACATTCCTCAGTAGTAACCTTGGAAACGCATACATCATACAGGTAGTACATTTGCAAAAGTACACATGGGCTGTATTTATTTTATTTATCAATGAATGAATATGTTATATTAGTTGAAAGTCCTTCTGTATGATAAATTATACATCCCAAACCTGATAGATTGTATGTGACATTTGGAGTACCCGGTATGTGATAAATAGGCATTGACCAATTTATTTTTTTCATGAGTTCATTATTTTTGTATTTTTATTATATAATATTTTCAGTTTGGATGTAGAAAATGCAATGTGATAATAATCATCAAAAAAGTAACTGAAATGGGTTACCAGATAAGCTGAATAGCTAAATATTATACCAATAAATTGCCTGTTATGTAAGCTGATCAGTTATTTTTCCTCTTTCTTTTTGTTTTACGGTTAGGCATTAACTGATCATTTATACTGTTAAAGAATTTTATTGAAATGTATAAACTTTTAACATTTTCACATATGATTTTAAGAAATTATTTGTTAATGGCAGGTTTATAAATATATGAATAGAAAAGATTTTGTGAAATATATATATTTTCGTGTTTTTTTAGTATAGCTGGAATATTTACTTTTTTAAGGTTTTGGATGTGGATATCCATAAAATTCAGCCATGTATGATTTTAGGAATGTGTAGCTGCAGACACAAGTAGTGTTGTAAACCTGATAATAGACTGTTGTTTTCTTAATCTAGGGATTCTCTGAAACAATGCATATATGAACCTCTTGTTGGTGCTTCTATTGTTATGATTGGCATATCTTCTTTATAGAGGAAAGTAGATTTACAATATATAATGTTAAACTATAACTGACATGTATATTCATATGGCTGTGATGTTTAGTTTTTTTATATATAGACAGTTCCAAAATATGAGATATGGCACACATGGTTGTAGTATCACTTTGTTGGTTTTTGCCTGATATAAGTGTAGGTGGGTTGGTGGCAGGGAGAATTGGAGCAGGGCATGTATGCATGTAATTCTGTTTCTTTAAAGGACTGAAATCCACCCTTTTTGAGTAATAAGAGAGAATGGAACTCTTTTGCTAACTAGAGTGAATGGTTTTCCAGTACTTGTCAAGGAGACCTACACACTTTTTTTTGTAAATGCATAACTGCATTATTTCATCTTACTTAGGCATTTTCACATAGTTTTAGTAGGTGAAGGTGTGTGTGTGTGTGTGTATGTGTACATGCATGCATGGTTGTTTGTGTATGTGTGCCTTTATATGTAAATGTTCATACATTCATTTGTATGTATGTACATTTATTGCAATATCAGAGGTACATTAATACTCCTTAAATTGTGTATTATATTTAGAAGCCAAATTGTAATCATATGCATACTGTTTTTAATAACAGGAAATATAGTTTTACCAAAAATATCTACAGTTTGGTATGCTCAGTAACCTTGCTCTCTTCAAGGATATTATATATATAAGTGGCATGATATTAC